AGGTATAAATAGGACTCCTAATAAAGTGCTAATTAATCTCCGGTGACAAAATCAAAGAAAGCACATCTGCATTGCTGAGAGGCGCAACGGAGGGAGAGGGGGGGAAAGGAAAGGGGATAGACAGGAAGGAGGGGCGAGGCAGGAGAAAGGAGAGAAAACATGCTAATGAGAAATTAGATGTGGAAAGAATTAGAATACAAGGTGAGAGATCGAGAAACAGATTTAGGCTTTCAAGGTTTGGAACATCTTTTGGGAAGTTATAATTTAATCATGTAAATATAATATACAGCCTTGAGAATTTGAACTTCTGTATTCTTTGAAAAAGGAAAAACCAGCATCTGTGTTTCTATGCGTTTCTCAAATCAGGTTGGTATACTAAACTTTATCCATAATCATTTTTGTTGACTGTTTAAGTGGTAATCAAACTAAATCCCAACCTTTACCCTAAAATTTTTTTGACTGCGGTAAGTCTACATGGTAAATATCAACACGTAGGAGTCAGCAGGATGAAATATATAGAAGCATAACTGCTGACAAAATAAATGATGATAGCATTAGCAGTCAGAGACAGAATGAGGTAATATGTTAGAGCACAGGGGTGCAATTATTTTAAAAGAGATGCAAATGGTGAGAAGATACTTCCCAGACCAGTCACTGAACAATATGATGGAAGTGACAGAGAACATTCAGAGCCGTCACAAGGATTTTTAAAAGGATGCAAAACGTGCAGCATAATTTGGAGACACATGACTCATCTATCAACTTTCATCAACTTTCATTTAGATTCAGCAAGCCAGCAACTCCGTACGGTCATCAATCAGACAATTCTTGTAACTGTAATTAAAGTTCACATCCTAACTATGTCTAATCATCATATTTCTATTGTCATTTCATTGCCTTAATGCATTCTTGGACTTGGCACAACATATTGTATTACTCATATTATATCAGAGCAATGAAAAAACGTTTATCACTGAGGGATGAAAAACTAAAAAAAATACATCATTGCACGCTATTATATATTATATATATATATATATATTAATATATATATAATATATATATATTATATATATTTATAATAAAATTTTATTAAATATATAATAATAAGTCATATAATCTGATATCATGTGTATTCGATTGTATTAAAAGGTAAAAAAAAAACAGTGTCAGCCACCACAAACCACCAGGACATGTTCAACAGTGTTCTTGAAAGGATTTGGTCATTTGGTCTATTTCAAGCTTGAAATAGATTAAAAATCTCCAAAACCTGATCGTTTGAGTTGAGATCAGGTGATGCTAAATCATCCTGGAAGAGGCTACTCCTCTCAGTATATCTCAATATATTTCACTATATGATGAAGTTTAACTTTGTATTATCTGTAGTTACCTTTCTTTTTATTGAAACAGACTGTCACAGCAAAATGACATTAAAATAATAAAAACTGTTTTTTCCTGTGAAAAAACAAATAAAACCAATAAAACCTTTAACTAAAACAGTTCACATCACCCAATTTTACATGACCGGGCTTTTGCACAGGCCTGATAAATGGAGGCTTAAGTCAGGCTGGGCAAATATAAGAAAAAGACTATATAAAACCTCATTTAAATTTCCAGATCATAAATCAAAAAGGTTGAAACAGATGATCCACTGTGATGACACTAAAGGGACAAAAAGGCAAAAACAAGAAATGGCCTAATATACTCATTTTATTTCTGTTCTTTCTACATATTACAAAAAAAATATATATAATTCCTGTAATTGTTTTGACTAAGGATATAAAAAATGATTATTCTTTATTTGCAAAACAGACTACTTGAGAATAGTAGAGAATTATTGGAGAATATGGCACTTTTATAGATTCAAAAAATGAAGTGGATATATTCTTGAACATTTTTTCTTTCATTATTTAAAAATTTAAGAGTTCTTTAAACACTGTTTTCCATTTCTCTCATATATAAAGAGCAGAAGGTCTTTATAAGTGTGATATATTTCCCTTTGGAACTTGCAGATATACTGTTCAAACTTGGAGAAATGTCAGGCACGCTAGAAGTTCCCAGCCAACAGGCAACTTATCAGCAAAATAACCATGAGCTATCTGAAGAAATGATAATCAATTTTCAAAGCTACAGTTGTCCTTAGTTAGTTAGTCCCCGAAGATCATTGTGTAATGGGTGTGATGTGACTTCACAGGCAAATCTGAAGGTACCGATATCTTTGATATCTTTTTTATTCTGTCTATTTGGTCTCTTATCTTATTGGACGATGTTGTGTATATACGTTATGTTCACACATGTGTGCTTGTGTGTGAATGTGTACAGTTTTGTATATGTATGTGCCAACATATTTGCATGTACATTATATGCTATATACTCTTACATGTCTTACAATTCTTTTTTAAAATGTTTTCTTTCTATTTGAATTCTTTTATTATATTATCCCTCTGTTCAGCACTTTGGCCGACACTTGATGTCTTTTAAATGTGCTATATGAATAAAGATGACTTGACTTGACTACTGGAATTACAAGTCAGCAGTGAGACATTCTGGAGGAAAGAAGAAAAAAAATAACAGACAACCTGTAGCCCCTGCAGCACTACAACGCTGAGCTACATTGTGGACAAACACCAGATTTTGCATCAACAACTAGAGGGTCTTGGTTTTTTGAGAGTGAACAAAGGAACAGTTTTAACTTGGAGCAATATAGAAAGTGCAAGAGAAATAGGTTCCTTGTTTTGGCAGAGATACATCTTGCTAACCCACAACAACACACAGAAGACGATAATCTGATTTTTTTTTAATCCTGCCAGACAGGACAGCTCTGAATGCTCTGTTGTGCCAAACACATCTATAATAATAATAATAATAATAATCTGATTTTAATTCAGATCTCTGAGCTACAAACAGGGAAAAAAATATAAACATTATATTTTGTGTTTAAACTGTTGTATTATACTTATTGATGTTTTATTTAAAAGCAGATGCTTGAGTCCTTAGAGCATATGTTACAAAGCATACTTTTTCAACAAGATAATTTTAATGTTTTCTTTTATGGTTCGATTAAAAAAAATAAGTAAATACATAAAAACAAACAAACAAACAAACAAATTATAGCCAATTAGGAACAAAAACATGCAGTGATACTTTGCTCATATTCTTGCTGTACTATTGTGAAAAAAAGAATATTATGTCAGTTTTTAAACAACGAAAAAGCCTTTGGCAGTGCTTGTAATGAAATGCTGTTTCATTAGAATGTAGCTGAATCAAATCTTTAATGGGGGAGACTCTAAAACAGGAGGAGTTGTTTACCAACTAATGAGGCAACTGAACAATTAAGATTTTATGATACCCTATATATAAATACTGATTATTGGCCCATTATGTTACTCTAGAAATTCCAGTTAAAGTAACATCCAATTTAAACTTTCAGCAGTTGTCCAGTTTAAATCTTGCATGGGGCACAATATCTTATGTAAGGTTTAGCAGACAGAATTAAATTTTACATGCGTCACTGATCTTTATTACAGATTTTTTCCAAACTGTTGGAGAGCATCTATCTCATTTAGTCATAGTGTATCTAACTTCAAAATATTAATATATGCAATCCTAATCTGTTAAATCTGGAGTATTTCATTTACTGTACTCTTTAAACTGTATATATTGTGAGTGTGGAAGGCAGTTTAGACTGAGGAAACCGCTGCAGTAAAATATCAGATTTGTTTGCTACAAGTGTCACAGGCTAAACTCTGTTTTAGTTTAGATCGAAAAATAGGGAATATGATGATTTATATTTAAAACTTCGGTGCAGTAAAGCAACTTCGTCTTTCACTTCCGCTGGGTATTCAGATTGTTATTATTGTCATAATAACCCCAGGGTGAGGTGCAGTGCGCCCTGTCAGACCAATAGGCGGCGTTTTGTCCCCATTTGCTTCCCTTTCCACTGCGTCTTCAGACTTCACTTCAAAGCATTAGATTTCCAAATTCATAAATAAATCAGCAGTAGAGGGAGAAAAAAGAAGGGGAAAAAAACTGCATATCCCTCTCCTACCAACACAGACAGAAACGACTGGAGGAGCGTCGCATGCAGACGACTGAACCAACGATAGAAATCCCTGAAAGACGTAATAATATTGCTGCATCGGTGCAAAAACTGAAAAAAGCAGCACGAGAAAACATCCCAGGAGGCCACTTTAAAACGAACTTTCAGTGCCACGCTGCATGAGGTGACAAATTAAGATCAAAGAAATATTATCCAAGCTTCAAACCCATCAAGTTAAAGTGCCTTGAAACTCAACACCGACTTACAGAATCTTAGAAATACTGCATTACATCGATGAGAGCAAAATAAATAAATAAATAAAAAAGGCTATAATAAGTATATTATCATATCATCATATCTCAAAACTGATGACTATAGCTATCATAAAGCTCCATCTGTTAGCGAGAAGTGACACGATGAATAAATAACTAACTTTAAATTTATTTTGTTTATATTTTTCTATGATCGATACAAATACAAAAAATACACAGTGAACCATTTACTATCACGAAGATCGAGATACCAAACTGTAAATTTATCGGCATGCTCAACAATTAAAGTCGGGTGACTTATTTGCTCATGTTTGTGGGAGGTGGAGGGTTGTTTTTAGATATGATGTCTAACCAGTAACCCACAAGGCTAAAAGATCGCTCTCTCGGATTTAAAAATATTAATAATGACTGAATTCTATATGTTTCCTGTCTACGATAGCCGATAAAGGAACCACTAACGCCCATATAAAGTGAGAAATATGTGCCCAGTAGGGGAATATTGTGCTACTTGCATCAAGCAGCCTACAAGTCAGAGCAATCAAAATGTGATCGATGGCAACGGACGTGCGACGACAAAGTAGCCCTGGGCGGTCTGGGTTCTTCAAGTTTGCAGAATGCGCAGAAGAGTGAACAAAAAGTCAAGCAATGAAGATTAATGAAATAAATACACATTTCATTTTTTTTTTTACCTTTTTGCAGCAGCCTTCTCTTCAATATAGCCTGAAGAAAAAGCATTTTTCCCCACACCGGTTCCAGACTGGATGGGTAATTCTCTCCTCATGGAAGAGCAGAGGAGGAAGAGGAAGAGGGAGGCAGAACTTCAGTCTGCATGCACTCCCTCCTGCTCGCTCTCTTTTTCTTATCCTCCCCCTCTATCTCAAAGGGACCCCCCTCCCTGTTGACACCAGCTGAACTGTAGGCAGTGCGCGTGTTTTTAAATACTCCGCAGAAGAGAGCGGGGAAATTAAGAAGCCCTATCAATAATCGACTTTAATCAGGAGTGTTCTCACTCTGGTGCTTCTACCCTGGTTCTGTTCTGATAGAGCTCATCCGTATTTTCCCATGTTCTCCTCCTCGTTTTCTTTATGCACTAATTTAATTACAGCATTCTCTCTATCTTCTTCTCTCCCTCTTTCAGTTTCTTTCCTGATTATGCAAAAAAATCGTAGCTCAAAGCCTTCGGGACTTTTGATGTCCTAGTTTTTTTTCTTCTTCTTCTTCTTCTTCTTATTTTTTCCACCCAAAGTGTGTGTCTAGTGGACTTGCATGTATAGCGAGTTTCTCTCTCGCTCTCTCTCTCTCTCTGTGTGTGTGTGTGTGTGTGTGTGTGTGCAAGAGAGAGGTGCCATGAAAAGTGCGGCCAAAAGATGAAAGCTTCTGCCACTGGAACCCACCACATCATGACTTATTTCTCGGCTCCCCTGTCGTCGGTGATCACAAGTTGGCCAGTGTCGCCTGAAGTGAAATGAAACCGAGGAACACTCTGTCCCTCCATACACAAATCTGCCCTATGTGTCCTTCTATATCATCCTGTTCAGCTTTTCACTTAGAGCAGAACAACATCCTGCGTGGAAACAGTACAGCAGGACCGCAGACAAGTTTTGTGTACAGTTGCTGTCAAAATCACACCTGAAAGTGCAAATTTGAGTATTGTGAACAGGTTGTTAAGATGGGGATGAATATATTTTCGAAATCGAGTTACAAATCTGAATTAGAACAATATTCAGTGAATGAAAAAATAAATGCTTGATTGTAAATTTGTAGCTTCATTGTGAAGATATTTTATCCACCTTTATATCCCGTGTATAGAAGCTGCAACACCTCTTTTACATAATCTTGAGGGTGTAACAGGTTTAGAGACCTGCAGACATTTGAACACTTCCTCACTATCCTGAATGTGAGAATCAGCAATTTATCTTACCCTCTGTGTCCATATGTTTTAAAACATATAGTGTATTGTCCCAAATACTTATATTTCACACAGCAGTGGAGTTTTCAAGATAACTTGCAATAAGGAGATTACAGTTTGGGTGGTATTCATCTAATGTGCACTGTATCTCCTTATGTATAAACAGAAAAAATAGCATACATGTATATTTTATGGTTTTAGACTCACACCTGCAGAGCAAACAACAGAACCTGCAACAACTCGCACAGCTGCGTTCAATCTCTGAGCCAGTCTTTCTGTGAGGCACAAGTTGATCTAGCTTTGACACACAAAGTGACAGTTAAAACATGGGCTGACAAACAGTTTGTGCATCTAGTTTACACCAATCTGCTGTTTCTGCGAGCAAACCACAGAGAAGTGTATTAATATGCGAAATGAGACACTGTGCCACCAAAAAATGTTAGCAGCTTGGAAAAGTCTGGGATTTGAGAACAAAGAAACAAAGTCAGCTGAATAGATTAGACATACACTTAAAACTTGGTACTGTTTGTCTACAGTCAGAATGTGACATCAGCTGTTTTTTCACTTTGGTGTCACAAAGGGCTGAAACCTTTATATTCTAAGACATACTGTACATTTAGCAGAATGCAATAAGACAATAAGTCCTCACACACACTAGACCTACTGTGTCTCTTTTTAAATTTTTTTACTCAAGACTTAAAAAGTCTTGAGTCCACAAGTGTTTACAGCGGTGAACCTGGACAATCAGTAAGTACTGTATAGCTCTGTTGTAATTTCTGTGTACAATTCTGTCATTGAGCTCACAATAACGCACATTTATTAAATGCAGTTAAGCAGAACTCTAGAAAAAAGGAAAATCCTCCAAGCAGGTAAATAACAAAAATCTACTGTTCCACCACAATGCTGCCAAACAGGACATTGATTAAACCAGCAAATATTAAGCAAGTCAAATGAAAGCGCATAAATAAAACTATAGTCGACAGGCTTCTGACTCTCATAGATGGAGGCACAGTCACACTTGTCTAAAAACTGTCACAAAGAAAAGTTTTACAAGTTTCCGTCTTAGGAAGGAATCCTTTCATCTTTTCATACACAGCAAAAACTCCAGTGTTAAATTAACACTGGAGAGTGTCTATATGGGTCCACACCTCTGAGTGTTAAATACAACACTGTTGAGTGTTAAATTAACACTTTTGACAGTGTTATATGTTTAAAAGTAACCTAGTCAGAAAGACTAACACTGAGCAGCGCTGATTTTCTAACACTGGAAAATAACTCAAAATGTTAGAAATATTCCAGTGTTAGAAAATCAGCACTGCTCAGTGTTAGTCTTTGTTAATCTTCAAAACTGACTAGGTTACTTTTAAACATATAACATTTGTGGAAAATTCTTTCTTCGTGCCACAGAAACAATGAAGAGCAGATACAGAAAATGCCATAAAATCAAAATGGCACAGGCAGAAGTGAGAGCGTGGAGGCTGGTAAGCAACACGGTTCTTAGAAGAGACCCCGGTCAGTAGTTGATTGAAATAACATTTAAACTGCTACCAAACACATGAATAAGGGCATCTTAACAATACAGTAAGTTTTACCAAAACCATTATATGCTTCACATAGTTGCAGTGATGTTGCATTAGGTTACATTAGACTGCCGGCATAACAACAGACATTAATGTTGCTGTGTCCATCCCCTGCAGACTGAGAATATTTTTGGCAGATTGACTAAATGGGAGACTTTTAAAAATCATCACTTATTCATCCTGTATGATGCAATAATTTCATTTAGTCTTCAGTGTATAGATAGCTCTTGTTTTTTTTCCATTTCAGTTCTTTTTTTTTTTTTTTAACTTGCAGTGACACAGTACCCAGGAAAGGAGTCAGAAAAGGTTTTGCTGTCTGAGGGGGAAAGTCTTTTCATCTTTTCCTTGGTTAACAGTGAATCATCTGACATGAGAGGTCCTTCGAGAGACAAAGAAAAGATGTAAAAGTCTCCTGGTGCTTGCACTTGCTGTACTTTTTTTATATATATATCTCTCATCCACAAGCGTAGTGCATGACCTACAACTTCATACTAAAAACTGTCAGTTTTTACAGAAACCCAGCATATTTTAGCAATGGTTTAATCCAAAATTTGGCCAGAAGAACTGTGATCTTAACTCACTTTATAAGGCATGTACTGCCAAGTGAGTATCTTTAATGGCTTAAAGAGATATGGTGAACATACAGCCAGTTTTCAGTGTCAAAAGGTGGCTCTCTTTTTACCTGGTTAGCTCACAATAGGAATTTATGCTTAACACATAATGTGGTCTGGATCAAGTTACATTAAGTCTTTTGGATTAATATTAATATAATTTATCTTCTGAAGGAATAGGTTTTATACATGCAGCCTGCAGAGACACACTGCATCTGACTAATACCAACCAAGAAAGCTATACAGTAAAGTTATATTGACAGAAATATGTAAGCAATCAGTTGGTTATGTAGGAAACGGAATTTTACTTTTATCTGGACATAAGCTAAACTGATCATTAGGCTTTGGTTGTGTTTTAATGTATCAGTTTTAACGTTTGAGGGTACTAATATACAGCTGTCTCCAGTACTGAGGTATAAACTAAATATATTTACTTGTGAAGTAAAACGTTCTCCTAGCATTACTGTCTTGCCTTATTTACAGCACAAAAAATACAATTTGCCAAACATTTTTATTGCCAATTTTTTCACCATTTCTTTAATAGTGCCTACTGCGTACTTCACTTTCTGACTAACATAGACAGCAATAAAGTTCACTCACACACACCTATTATTTCTATCTGGGGGTTTTCAGTTTTGTTAAGCTGTTTTAACTTGTGTTCCCCATAAAGGTTGTGCAGACCACATGAACTTATGCTAAAACCTGGGCACTTCTCTTACTTGTCATATTAAGGAAATACTGATGAGCAGATAAACACATGCACATACAAAACACAACAATACAAATTACACATATTGCTATTAATTAAAAAAAAACTGTCATATTTTATTTTTTCACTCCCCTCCTGGGCTCTCTTTTTGCATTCAGACATCACTGTTCAGTCAGATAACTCACATTTGAAATGATTGATTACAACAGAATATATTTAGAACTTGGCATCTAGTTTCTGAGCTCATCCTTCCGCACATATATGTTACATATAGAAGTTGGGGAATAATGGGTAAAGATTCCTCCCTGGAGCCTAGAGATGGAGTGGTGGAAATGGTGGAGGAATGGAAACAACAGGAAGTGATGCAACAGCAGTGACACTGACATGCCAGAGGGAGAGATGGGAAACTTTGCAGCATAAATAGACCATCAAATTGTTAGGGCACGTTTGATACAAGGAGAAATGCATATTACACATGTAGGATGGAGGGGGTTACATGAAAGTAGCTAGTTCACAGGACTGACTGTATTTGTGAAGTAGTATAGCACAAAATCAAAATCAATAACGCTGGCCAAGTATGTGCATGTCAATCTGCTCATTCATCCTTGTCAAAACATTTAGTCTACAGCACCCACAATGCAACTCAAAGCTTGAAAAATTTAAGATTTTGCTGTGTATTATTTTTAGCATTCAAACATATTTTAGTAGAATAAACTCAAGGTGACATAACTTTATCAGCTCCCCTTAGACGTATGGAAAAGGAAGACAGGACGCATGAGGTAGCGTAGGTTAGCATGTTTCTGTAACAACTATATCAAAATGTGTAATTAGATACAAACCCATAGATCAAACGTCCTGTTTTACATTTTAGTCTATACCTTAGTTTCAGTAACATGGCTCATTTACTCTTTTGGATTAATTTCCCACATCTTTGGATGGTTGAAACACAAACACATGCACACACCTTCTGTCTTTCCCAATTGTAATCAGCCTTTAGACTGGAGCAGACTAAGAGGCCAGCTAAACTATCATACCACTGACCCAATTTTCTGATACAAGGCTCTAATCAGTTTGATATGGCTAAAACATTAGATCCAAGATGATATATAAAACAAGTGCTCCTCATGTTTATTTCATCCAGTCGAACACTTTTGTCTTTCCTCAAGGTTTTTCACACCAAGACAAAGTGAATAAGCCTTAGGTAAATGCAAACATTTGCATAGAAACACAGGCTGCTGTGAGAGTTGGTCTAAAATTGTTTCCTATAGTTAACTTTTTACAGTACATGCATTTGATGTTACAGAAAATATGCACTAAAAATTGATGCAAAAGGACAAAAGATGTGAGACATGTGGCTTTTTAGCTGTTGTATGTTCTACAGTAGCTTGCATCAGCCAGTCTATAAAGTCTTCCGTTTCTGCTTTTTGGGGTCACTCAGGCTTTGATATAATATATAATTCTTGCTGAGGATGAAAGTTATGCATGTCTTTCTTATGTGAGCAGGAACTGAATCAGATAAAGTTACAGCTGTAAACCAATGGCATATAAGTTATTAACCTTTAGTCTGCATGAACCAATGCTCTTAGATTTACAAATTCTGCAATTTGGCCGTAGTGACACTTGGATTTATCCTCTTCACCTAATGGATTCTTAACCTTTACAGGATTGCATAAAGACTTTGGTCTTCATGGTGTCAGTGAACTTCGTGTTGGCTGCCTTTACCTTTGATGGTGAACAAGTGCTGAACTCTTACTGTTAACTGAACTGTTACTGTTTTTGTACCCATTGAATCACACAGGACCATGAGTCATAACATGATTCAGAATACGTGAGCAGCTGATGTGGAGGCAGTATTTTCTTTTCTTTTACACTTGCAAAGGTGCAAAGTTAACCTATTAGAACATCCTCTGGACTTTCAGTGTCTGTAGTATTTCTGCACAATGTAATCCAGTATTTCTTCATATGGTTTTATATCACCTCTCATGCCCCGTCATTTTTTCCCCATCAACCTTAGAGGTTTTCATAGCATGATGAATTCAAACTGAATCTAGCCACAGAACAGCTTCTTTTCCTCCAGCTTGAGCTAGATTGATTAACTCTGTCCCACCTGGTATGTCGGGTTGATTAAATCGAATGGCAGCTTCTATTGGAGATAGCAGTTGACAGGAGCAAAGTGTTTAACACACACACACACACACACACACACACACACACACACACACACACACACGCACGCACGAACTAACTTATACTGACAGGTCCCAGCTACTGACAACTTCCTGTACAACCACTCAGTCTGGCAGGAGTTTAATTTTATTCGACAATCAAGAACC